GTGTTTGTTGTCGAACATTTTGCGAATGCTAAATGAATGAACACGAACACCTTCAAAAACAAACAAACAAACAAAAACACGATATTATAAATTTAAATGAACATGAATCGAGCACGTATCAAGCGACCTCGGTGGTAAAGAAATTATTTTTTTTGAGATCTGGGTTTGAGCATCATGAATGTCAAAGGTGTGAGCGTTTAATGTCAAATGATTGAGAGTTATCTTATATGAATTATGCAAATGATACGTTGGGATCCCAAGTAAATCAAAATAAAGTGATGTGGTTATATTCAACCTGTCCAGAAAAAATGCATGTAAAAAGACAAGATTTTCGAAGTAGACAATGTTAAAAGGGTTCAAATAACTCACAATTTATCAAATTCACTCCAAAATACATTCTATTGGACATGGTCACACAACTACTCAAAGAAGATTAGTTGGCGAAATTCAGATTGATCAAAAGAGTCTGATCAAAAGTGTTAGCTTCAAATACTCTCACCAACCATTGTTAAAGCTGTCCAAACAGTTGTCTGAGTAATAAACCTACGGATTAAATGGTTGAAATGTAAGCAACTAATGTGGACAGTGCCCTCTTTCAGCCACACATTATTGGTTCGCTTTCTTTCTTTATGTTTAGACAAAATGTTCCCCTCAGTTGCAGGTTTTGATCTGGATATCACGATGTTCAACATTCTTTTACGGCAGACACTGAGTCGACTCAGGGCGTCATCAAATAGGGTCAGGCAGCCTTCTACAGCAGGGTGAGAGAGGAGACCGTTGAGGGACTTGATTGAAGCAATCTTTTATTATTGCGTCCTACAAAACAATCCCTATAACTATAAGAGAATCCATCGACTCCATCTGCTAATATATGAGTGGTTCTCCTCTTGGTTTGGTGACAACAAGGTTGTGATAAAATTTAGAGCTTAATCGAATTAAATTTCATTTAAAAGTTAAATAACTTCTCAATATTGTTTTTTTCTTATCTTTGAGATTTTTTTAATTAAGTAGAGAAATATTACATTTTTAAAGTAATATTAATATTCAAAACCACATAAAATAAGATAAGATAATATGAGTATTTTTAAAAGAACAATTAATTAATAAATCTCTTCTTAAGAATTATTCAACTCCTTATGATTCAATTTAATATTCACATCTTTTCTTTTATTGATTTAGCTTTTATTCTTTTATACCTAGATTTTATTTTACCGTAAAAATAAGTTTATAACTAAAGTATTGAGTAAACTACCTGTCGCGACCGTCTTTCAGGTGGGCCCGGAATTGAGATTCGACTGGGAATAAAAGTGCTAGATTCGACACCGATCATTTTAAAAAAATATTTAGGCTGATCGGACACCATCTTACCTGATCTCTGTTTTACCATAAATGTGTCGAGTTCGGGAGTCAGTTACAGTCAAGGTAGGATTAGCACCATTGTACTGCCCTTTCGGTACCAATTAATTTGTCGGTTGTCTTAATTGCAAAAATTAAAATTTAAAAACTCGATTCAAATTACTTACCTCGATTGACAAAAAATCCCCTAAAAAGTCAAGAATATTGATAGATTATAAAATAAAAAATAAAAATGAAAAAAGAATAAAAAATATTAATATAATAATAATAATAAAATAAATAAATAAAGATAAATAAAATTGAGTGAAAAGAAAAAGAAAAAAATAAATAAAATAAAAAATAAAAAGGGTTAAATTTTGAAATAAAAAATAAAAATAAAAAATTATTAAAAAAATAAATATTAACAAAAAAATCGAAACATAAATAAATAAAAAAGGATCAAATTGAATTAAATTGAAATTTATGGAATGAAATTAATGCTAAAAGTGAACTGTAAGAGAAAAATAAAATTATGGGGTTAATTCACAAAATATAAGAAATGTAAACTGGGATCAAATTGAATAAATTAAAAATTAAGAGGCAAAATTGCGACAGGTGACCAAAACGAATTACACTTCAAAATATGAGGGACTAAGAAAATAATTTAACTATTAATTAATTACATAGTGATCCCTCTCCTAAAAACAACCTAAAAACTAAAAAAATTTATCATTTTCAACAAAAAAAAAACCAAAAAACTCTCTAAATCTTCTCCCCAAAACCATCCGACCGAGGGTCGGGCAACTCCAAAAAAATGTTTCTCTCAACACTCCAATCTTAAAACCGAAGTCCAAATACTCAAAATATACCCCCTTCGACGTAGATCTAACAACGAAAGTCTCGGGTTTATCTTTTTTCCGACAAGCCTTTCAATTAAGGGTATTCAAATTTAATCTAATAAAAAAAAACCCAAAATCAATCCAAAAAATTGATAACCGAAAAAACTGAAACCGATTTAATATGTTTGGTTATTTTTTTAAAAAACCAATCGGTTCGATTCTGTTTCGGTTTAAAAATTAGGAATCGATCCAAACCGAACCGATATTTTACTATCTCCCTGCGACACCGTTTCAAGTTCCTGTCTAAAAACTGAAGCCCTAACCCACTTTTCCCAATTTACTGGGCGTCTCCGCCTCTTCTCATCTTATTCCCTTTCCTCTGTCCTTTACCCTTTGAACAGAAAGCCAAGCGGGGGGCGTTCGGGCTTCGTCCACATACTCGTTACTCTCTGTTAGTAGGGTTTTGGGTCTGCTCTTATGTAAGTCTCGTTTCTTACCCTCTTCTTTACCATCTCAATGTTAATCTCTTTATTTTTGTTTGCTTTATGCTCCGAATGCTCCTTCTCTTTATACATGCCGTATATGTGTTTTCTATGCATTTTGTTTTCTCCAATGTGCTGCCATTCATATGGTTCAGTCATAAATTCCATAATCAACAGGACTCGTCTTTGTCCTGTTCCATCTGTTCCATTTTGGGGTCTTTAGACTTAAAAAGTTTTGAAATTTTATTGATTTTTTTTCCTCTTTTGATCCTCTATTCAGCGTATAGTTCCTTTCAAGCTTTCTGGGTTTTACTATTTTTTAAAAGTTTTGATCCATCTTTTTGGCTCACAGAGGAGGACAAATTCAGGGTTTTGTTTGGCTTTCTGAGTTGTGATTCCAAGTTCCAATCTTTCATTAAGTCTTTTTTAGCAGAATCTGCTTGTTTTCTAGCATATTTAAAGGGTTTGCCTTTGAAGGGTATTTTGAATCCAGTCGGTGCCGAGTGCTTTTAAAGTTTGAATGTGGATGATAGAGCTAAATAGGTTGTTATGATACTGAAGACATAAAGGAAACATGGGTTGCATAAGAACAATTTGTTTGGTGTTTCTGATAGCTTTGTTTTGTGTATCACTGACTTCCAGCTTAGGTTACAGTAAGGATGGAGAAGAAGCATTTCTTAACCAATTAGCAGATCCAGCAACTGGGGAGATTGATGAGAATCTGGTAAAGTTGACTGCTTTGCTTATTTGCTCTTGAGTCTTGATTTGCTTTAGTGATTGTTCGGATTTACAATAATGTTAATAGGCTGCAATCAATTTGTTTAGGCTATTATTGTTGGGTAGAAATGGTTGGTAGCATGTTTAATTGAACTTTGAGGAATATATAGGAACCATACACAATGAGACACTGTTGTTGCATCAATTTATTTTGAAAAAATAGAATCCAAAAACCGCACAACCGCACTTAATCGGATCGGATTTTTTTTAGAAACATCCAAACTGATCTAAAACTATTATGATAGCTTATTTTGCAACAAAATTATTATAGAATCATTTTCATTTTTATCCTTTTTTTTGGATTTATTTTTTCATAAAATACTTATCATCATTTAGAGTTTTCAATGAATATCTCAAACTCCTAAAATATGATAAAGCTCTAAATCCCAATAAAAATGTATTTAATTACATAAATTTTAGAGAGATTTTGAAAAAGGCTTACTACTAAAATAAGTTATCAAATTATACCGTTTTTCTCAAATGTATATAAACTAATTTTCGTCTCATCCAAGTGCCTAACGTTACATCAGTTACTTGTTTAGGTGTTTGGGCTGTCAAATGTGTTAATTCTTGCTGTTAAGTGATATGTATCACAATCTAGTGATTTTGAAATTTAGTTTTTTAAATAAAATATTAAAAATATTATGATATTTATAAAAAAAAAATTATATTATAAAATAACCCCAAAATCCCAAATTCTAACCTTAATCCGTTGTTGCCGTTTTTGGCCACGACCACCGCCATTGACGTAGTTCCTGTCATCCTCATACTCGTACACCGTCGTATTTTCCATCGATTGGCCGTCAAAAGCGCGTGTAATCGTGATTTTAATCCTATGGTTCGAGCGGCTTAAAACATTGATTTGTCGTTGATAAGCTGTCGATCGGTCACGATTTCATGGGTGTTTTGGTCTCTCGAGGGAGGGAAGGTCGGGCAGAGCTTCGTTGATGGCAAAAGATGATGGTTGACATGGGTTTAGGGGTTGAAATGAAGGTTTTCAAAGTTGAGTTTATTTCAAAAATTTTGGTTTTTGTTTTTTAAAAAATATATAATTTTAATTTTTTAATTAAAATTTTAAAATTACCATGTTTTGACACGTGTCATTTAATGAGAAAATTAACACCTGTCCAGACACTTAAATGGGTAACGTTTGTAACGTTAAGTACCTGAATGAGACGAAAATTAGTTTAGACACCTATTTGGGAAAAATGTATAGTTTGAGCACTTATTTTGATATTAAACCTTTGAAAAACAAAAATGATAAAGTGATAGATGATAGCGAAGAGTTCATATTATGATGGTAACAAAAGACCCAAAAAAAAAAACAATTTCTGACGACCCCTTAGAACGAAGGAAAATGAAGAAAACAGGGGAAACGATATTTTATGAAGAAAACCTTTCAGTGATTAAATTTAAAATGAAACACACCTTAAAGTTCAGTGAGTAACAGTATTATTCTGATAAGCTGAAATGGCTAATATAATCTAAATCAATGAATGCTCAAACAACAAACGGAAATCATTTACATTTCTGAAGTAAAACTATATATGATTTTGCAAATGGGAAATCAGAGGCAAGCACCAGAATACAACTCTATACAGCCTTAGTTCAACCTCTAAATGTTATACAGGCCAGTACAATGTTTCCCAGCCTTTACCAAACATCCCTACATCTGTGTACTTCATGTCCGCAAACACAAAAATTGAAGAAAAAAAAACGAAAAAGGAAGACCACTAGAATGCTTTGATAAAGTCGATCAGGAGGCAACATCGGATTGTGCAGAGCCAGAAGAAGAAGCAATTGTTTCACCTGCTACATTCTTCAGCTTAAGAGAACTACAGTGTGCTGCAGACCCTGGTTCAGAGACATCTCCGATATCCAAGGTGTCGGGAAGGGTTCCAGAACACTCGGGACGCATCTGCCCAAGAGGGCGATTCAGTTTTCCATGAAAGTGAGTAAAAGGATGCATAATTAAAATTTGCTCATCAATTAATCAAGATTCACCAAACGTATACTACAAGCAATGGTGAAGATGGTTGCACAAAAAGACCCATACAACCCTCATTTTGGATATATTCAACCCAACAGTGATGTGAATAAAAACAATAAAAGTGCATAGTGACATACTTGATACACATAGTAAGAATGAAATCAATCTCGTATAATTGATATATAAGATCAGAAGAAAGCTCAAAAGCAGAGAAATCAAAGGAAGTGGAAAAATCACTTTCGATTGCCATCACCAAACAGCATGAAAAGATCAGAGGTTGCACAAAACTATTTTAAAGTACATTGGCATGCTGAAAATGGGCCAGAAATTGCATAAAGCTCCCTAGCTGTAAGATGCAATGCAGTTTTAGATAAAGCCAAAAATGTAATATCAAGTGAAATATGTTTATCTGAGAATAAAATCAGTATATTATTAAAAAATCCAATTACTTCACTATTAGATCCCTTCATTGTGGGGCAGTTGGCAATGTGCGGGATATAACAGCAGGAGAGGAGCTCAAACATTCAGCACCCCAAGGCTTAATAAAAGAAGGAAAAAGAAAAACTCATGATGAGAAGGGAGGAGGGAAAATCATTCAGCATCATGACTAGGACAATCATATTTGTAAAATATAAAATAAAGTTGGCCGCAGTTTACCTCAAGTTGATTCAGCATGTCAACAGTGGCTTCCAAGTCCTCATTATTAGCCAAGTAGACATCTAGAATAGACTCATTGGATAAACCAGGGAATGTCATGCGAAGATACTCCAAATCCATGTCAAATTCTACATCCATATTCGGGTCATTGTTCTTCTGTACTGACGCTTCAGCAAAATGGGTCTTTTCAGCTCCAGGGGTTACAGAGTCAAGTGAAGCATTGTTATAGTGTGGATTATGTGTATAGTGCGAGGCATATTCAAACCATGAAGTCTCATTGCCATGCTCAACATCTTTAGCCTTAATATGATCATTTGCATCCCTTCTTGCAAGAGGTATGTACGATGCTGCATAGGGGTTCAATGAAGAAGCTCCTGGCTTCATTGCCTTTGCAGAATTAGAAAACTAAACATTTAGACAAAGAAAAATATTAGAATATAACTTCATTTTCAAAAGAATAATCCAAAAAGTAGAGAAAAATGAAATATGAGTTGAAACAATTAATAAAAGTACTATAGTGAAAGAAAATTACAATGTAAGCTCAAAGAATGAAAAAACAGCAGGAGATTGTTTGTAAATCAGTACTACACTGCAACAAACTAAAACTCATGATATAGAGTTACAGACACAACATGAAAAATAACTAAAACATGAGTCGTGAACACAGCTCATACATATATGCCTCAAAACATATCTCATAAAAATAACTATAGCACGATGAGATGTGAACACAACTCATACATAACTGCATCAAAAAACTATCTCATAAGAATCATTAGCATGTTAAAATTTATATAAGCATAAAATACTCAAAACACGATTACGACACAAGAAAATACGCAAACAGAACAATGATACACTAATTGCCAGGTCTACAACAAACAGTGAGTATGGGTACTGGGTAGTATTCACATCTGAAACAGGTTCATTTCCGATTATGGTCTCCAGTTAACATCCACTATTTAAGCATGGATACCAAGTAACAATTTGAAGAATAAAAACAATTAACATCTAAATCCTATATCAAACAAATAATAATATAATATATGATAAAATTGCATTTACAAGATGCTTCATTATGACTGCAACGCGGCACTACTTTTTAACCATAAAAATAATCAAATATATTTATCAAAATTCATTAAAACGAATCAAGGAAATAAAAGACAAAAAGGAACAATCATATGGCTTTTTGTTCAATCAAAACATGTAACGGAAAATCAAACAAAATATCGCGATCAAACTCTTAGATTAACTTCCTGAGCAAAAATATATGTATACATAAGCATACGATAAAGAAATAGATATTAGCAACCAGAAAAACAGGGAGCAGATGGGGAAAAATACAAAATTCTTTAAATTGTTTAAAAATAATTTCAATCAAGAAAGCGATCTAGTAAAGAAAAGCTTCTAAACCACATAGTTCTTCAGTCGATTACATAACGTTCTTGAACTCATAGAGTGGCAAAGATCAAGCAAAGAGAGGAGTTAAAACAACGAAAATCAAAGAACAAAAAGGGGGAAATGAACAAAAAAGTAAGGCGAAAATAATAAAAAAGAAATAAAAGATGAAAATCACAAGGAGATCGAAAGAGGAATTACCAGAATACGGTAGGCGGTTGATGATCAAAGAAACAGTGAAGAAGAAGAAGAGGATTTTAAGAGATCTGCGATTAAATTGGATATCAACGATGAAAGTTTTTAGTATTGAAACACGGCAAGAGGGGGGACGTCTACTTGAAGCAGTAGCCGTTCACGATCTGTTTGGGAACTCATTTAACTTTAACCCGTTCTCGGTTTACAAATTCTGTGGAACATTAGTAAAACGGGTAGCTCGTAGTATGTATTAGGATAGAAACCAGTCCTCCGTTTACAAATTGATGGAATTGATTGTAACCGAAAATTTTATTAGGAGTATAAAATTAGCTGACCTTATTCTCATATCTAATGGGGTGAGGGGAGGTAAGGTAGTAGGTTGTCCTCAACGTCAGGTTGAGAGCAGCTTCCGTGGAAGACCTCCAGCAGTTAGAATTATGAATTGTCCACCGTGAGACACAATCCCACGACCACAAGGTTAAGAGCCTTGTGCTCTACCAACTGAGCTGGACGGAAAATTCAATTTTATTAAGAGTATAATTTTTTTTAATTTAACAGAGTAATATTTAAGTTGAAATAGAAATATTATATTTTTATAATATTTTGTTGTAACAAAAAATATTATATTTTTCATAATATTTTTTGTTGTAAGCCCTAAACTCTCTGTAATATAACTTTTCGATTATAATCGAAAATGTTACAAATTTATATAACCTTATAAGTTTAACATGATAACATTTTAGGTTGAAAATTGTTTTAAATTAAAGTTAAATTAAGCTGCTATATAATGAAGTTATCCTGATATCAATAACTTATAAGTTATCGATATCAAGTCAGATATATCAATATTTTTATTAATATTAATATTGCATATAAAAAACTTAAAAATATTCTTTTATATGATCAGTTACTTACATTCATTTCGCGATCCTTATGTTTTATAATATTTATAATATACTAAATATATGTTGTGACGGATTTGAAAGAGAATTAGGCTTGTAACCTTGGAAAAAAAAGAATTAGGCTTGTAACCCTGGAAAAAAAAAGAATTAGGCCTAATTGCGTATAAAAAGATATAATTTTTATGAGAGCATATAGATTGAGGGAATAAAATAATAATTAACCCAATTAAAGATTTTGTGCTTGACTTGGGATGTCACTATGTATACTAGAGGGGGCGGATATTTCATTTTCACCCCTTATTCTCTTATCTCATGTTCTTTATTAAGCATAATTCTCACTCTCCCATTTAGATTTCAAGCTTCATCCTAACATCATTAAGAAATAATTTCAACTCTACTAAGATCTGAATCATTCTAAGAATTTCATGGGCTTCAAAATAATTTTCATATCACTTATTTTGAAAGTATAGGTTAGAAGAGGATTTTAATGGGGTTTAAGTCTTAGAACTAACAGTAAAGGTTTCATATCACTCATTATAAATTCTTTGGAATTATTTTTAATGTTGTTTGATTAGTGAAAAAAATAGAGATCTCTCTAAACCTATAGGCAAATGAAAGCTTAGAGAGAGTTGGTCTAAGGCCTTTATTTGGTGTTTTTGAGCAATTTAGTATATTTATAATCCTTTGTTATATCATAGAAATAATAAAAATGATGCAATATGTATAGTTTCGGACTTGAAGCATGTTTTTGAGTATTATGCATGACTTGTGGCTTGGGTTTGGATGATTAATTCATGTGTTAAGCATACTTTATTTAAGTGTTAAATGAGCCTATAAAATTCACTTAGAATTTTTTAATGATGTTTAGTCTTATTGATAGCATGTAGAGAAAATTTTGAAAGTGATTTTGAAGTCTTAAAACTCATTTTGGGACTTTAGTATTGATATTGTTCATGTAGTATCAATAACGATTGAATATGAGTAAAAATTTATGTAAAATTACGGGTTAATATCAATACTATTTTTCATGATAGTTTACTGTTTATATGGTGTCAATACCAGGGATAAGATCTCGACGCCAAAGTAAAATATTCAAGCATTGAAGTTGAAATTGATATCAATACTCTATGTCATTATCAATACCCATAAGTGTGGCAACAATATATTGGCTTGAAGGTATTGTTACCCATTTTAATTAATTTGAATCTAAAACTCAAATTGATATAGACTACCAAGAGATGATATAAAGTACCAAGAGATGGTACCAAGGGTTAGGTATCGATGCTCAAGTAGGAGTATCAATATCACAATGAGAAGATTGGCTACGAGCCTTGTTTGAAATGGAACTTGAGTGCAGTTGTTTATTTGAACTTAATAACATGTATTAATTTCTCAATTATCTATAATACCCTTATAAAGTGATGTTTATGAGGAGGTCCCTATCAAACTAAATGAAAACTAAGGTTGACCTTGTTGTAAAGAAACGATGGGCTTAGAGCCCTAATGATTGAGGTTAATGACATAAGTGTATTGGTGTTGACTTTAGTGGTGTTGTAACACCTAAATCCAATCCGACCCAAAATTCAGAGAATTTGAATATTACACAGAAACACTGAAGTGGCTAACCATTTTTTTAAAACATTTCTCAAAACATAAGTGCTCATCCATAGTTAAAAGAAACATAAACGTTTAAGTTTACAAAAGGGGGCTCCCAAAATAATATCTCAAATCTAAGACCTGATTTTTAATAAAAGAGTTACGACTCAATTACACATAATGTATATGAATTACTCACCCTCTAAAATAATCGAGACGTACTCTGAAACCTGTCGAAATCTAGAATCCACAATCTGATGATAAGCTCTTCAACCGACATGTAGTGACCTATGAACAGAAACAAATTTCAAATGCTAAGCTATGAACTCAGTGTCACACAATAACCCTACTATACTACATACATTCATTAATTATGTATGCTAGCAAGTATGGTTATAAGGAAACAAAATGCATCAAACATAAAACATATCAAAATATCAAATATAATTATATATATAATACGATATGTATATCATGGGTTTACCATCAATTAACGGAAATGCCTAGCACTGCTACTAAAGTACCTCAACACTGATACAAAAGTGCATTTGCATTGATACTAAAGTATCTTATCATTGATAGGATAATATCCATCTATCTCATGCATATATATATATTAAATGAACATCTTACATTCAAGTAGCTTAGGTGTCCTTGTCGTTTCTCGAGCATCAAGCAAAAGTTTAAGTCTTATATATCATTCATTTATAATATTCCTTCTCACACAACATTTTTAGTTTTCACTTTCAAGCTTATTAGAGTAATTATGGTGAATCAAACCCCTTTTCAAGCCCCTAAACAAAAATTAGGCTTCTTGCCCAATTCAGTATGAGGGTATTGGTACCGACCCCTTTAGTATGATGCATACTCTCCAGTATTGGTACCCACCCTTGGTATTGTCAAAATGGGCTACTGAATTTGAGGAAAATTGACAGTATCGATACCCATATTTGGAGTATCAATACTTCTGTTCTAGGGTATTGATAACATCAAAAGTATTGATACCAAAATTATATTCGATGTTTTGGAAAATCATTTTTAGTATCGATATTCCTAAGTTGGGTATCGATACCCCTGCTCGTATGGTATCGATACTCTCATGAGTACTGATACCAAAACTGACTACTGGAATTTGAAGTTTAAATATGGTAGCAATACCCTATCCTTGGATATTAACATCGAACGAAATATCGATGCCCTGTGAATAGGGTGTCGATACCACCAGCGAAAAACTCATTGTTTTTAGGCTATCTGAAGAACCGTATCGATACTATTCATCCAATACTAATACCTAAACCCAAAAATACTATGTTTTAAGTGCATAAATGACACTCAACTTCCTCTATAAACCCTATAAGGCCATTAAACGTTATTTAAGTTTTACGAGTTTAAATGGATTATAATATGTCATTTTAAAGTATAATAAACATCAAAAGATCTCATTCACCCCTAAACACAAACATGCAATCAAGTCACAACCTAATGATCTACATGTTGTATAGGTAAGTTAGGAGTGTTTTATCTTACTAATAGTTATTGGGAAAAACGTCCACAAGATCACCAAAGCACCAACTTATTCTTGTTCTTTCTTTTGAAGCTTCCCTAACTTCTCTTATTAACCAAATCAATGAAACAAATTACTAACTTATTAAGGCTTAAGGAGAGTAGAATATGATTTCTACTCTTAGAACGGATTAGGAACACTCTAAGGTTCTAAAACTAAAACCTCTCTTAAACCCTCACCATGGTCACCATAGCTAAAGCTTGAGATGGTGAGCTTGAAATGAAGCCCTAAAGGAGAAATTGTAGCATCATCAATTCTGGGTTAGTGATCAGATTGTAAAGTTTTAGAATTTGGTGACTAAAGTAGAAGAAATGAAATAGTTCCATGATTTATTTGGAATATTTCCATAAAGTTGTTAGTAATTATTAAGGAATAAGGGCAAAGTGGCCATTTGTCATAAAAAGATATTTTTTTTCTTCTCTCCAACGTGCTGAGCAAATGTGAGTTTAATTTTAGTTGTTTAATTCTTGGATTTATAAGTTGATTTTGATTCTTTGAGTATTATATAAGCTTAAGGAAAGCTATATAAGCTTTAAAACATCAAGAATAGAGAATTAAAAAGGAAATTATATGAAGAGTGTAGAAATAGACTTTTGTTATAGAAAGGTTTTTGAAGTTTTAACGCTGGATTTGACTTGTCAATGGTCTAATTAAGAAGTTAGAAACAATTGAATGGAATTGGTAATGTTAAAATTGAGTATGATTCTTGAATTTCATAAGGAAGATAGATTTGAGGTTAAAGATGATTTACATGGATATAAGTTGGTTTAGGTAATGGTAGTTGAGTTAATGATATATTAGAGGCTTAAAATAGAAGAATTAAGGGAAGAGTTGATGATTTTCGTGCTAAATGCAAATTCTGGGCAAGGTATCGATGCATATCAATGTGCATCGATGCACTCTTTAAAGAAGAAACATCGAATGCAATTGGTGCATCGATGCATAAGGAGTTGCATCGATGCATCCCCTTAAAATCAAAACATCGAAGGTAATTTGTATCGATGCATGGGTAGTGCATCGATGCACATGTTAAAGAATGTCGATGCACTGTA